GATGGGAGCTGCACCAGGACAGGGGGGGTCTGTGTGTGCTGATCGCAGAATGTTCTAAGTGCGTTGACTAGTGCCTGGCACAGAGTAGGAGCTTAATAAATACCAGGAATCCACCGAATGTATCAATGAATGCCACACCCATCGGATGAAGGTATACACCCAAACATATCTGCTGCTTCTTCGCACTAAGGCCTCAGCTCAAAGGGCTCCTCAGAGTGACTCTCCGCACTGCCCACGTATAGGTGTGGGCCTTGTCATTACCCTTACAAAAATGTATTTTTATCTCTTGCACATTGTCTGGCTTCCCCTATGGCAATAGAAACTCTGACAGCACCAGGTTCTGAGCGTCCATGTTTCTAGGGCACCGTGTCCACCACGTGGTACATTCTGAAGAAATGTGTTTCATCAGCCACCCCTTCCCCTAAAGCAGACACAGCCGCCTGCAGAGGCAGACCTCAATCACTCACTCACATCTCTGCGTCTAGTGACCAGTGACATGCCACCGATAATTATGGTGCTCAGAATGACTGTAGATACAGAAAACAAGGACAGCTGTCTCTCCATATAACTCCATGTGTCGTTTGTCGTAATAACCCCAGACCCTACAACCTCATCTAACATGCTCGCTGTTGACATTGTCTGAAAGTGCTGGGTCCCCTCATTTGGAAGCTCCATCACTGATTGATTCTTTAATTAAAGTTTTAATATTTATACTTGTGCCTTGAGGCAGTATTTTAAATAATGGAGGCAGGCATTAGGGAGAGCTTCATGGCTCCTTCAAAAACATCCTCTCCATGTCTGAGGTCTCTGGCACAACAATATGGGTGAATGTGAACGTGAAGGATTACTGGAAGTGTTTGGGAAAGTCAGCGGTATTAATTTGTGGATCGTGCTTACTGTGGATCTCCCATGCTGGGCGCGAAGGCAGGAGAGCTGCCCTGTGTCCTTCAGAGCAAATGCACTCGGATTTCAATAGTCTCCTTGCACGCCACTGGGACATCGTGTGTCCCCAAAGTATTTTTTGTGTCAGATACGATTTCCCTCTTAGAACGTGTTCATTACTCCACACGTTGGCTTAAAGGATACAAACAAAACGGTCTAATTTTTAGAAAGGTGAAATGTCAGGCATATAGACAGTGCAGACCCAATTTCCTGGATACATAAAAAATTATCTGAAAGGTCTTTGATAAAATATAATGGCCTGGTATGGCTCAAGCTGAAAGAGCTAAACCTATTTTTTTTAACAAAAAGTCATCAGAGACATGAGGATGTCTGGAAGACCTGTGCTCAGACCTTAGAGGAAGAGGTAAAAAAATAGCATCAATTATCGTGAAGAGAAAATAGGGCAGTGAGGGTCAATCCTAGCGGGAGAAACTCGCTCAGCCCCGCGTTCTGACTCGTGATGCTAAGACAGTGTAGCCTACCAAGAGCAGCGTTCACTAAGGCATTACTGCAACTTCATACCTGTTGATTTGCAAGTCTCCACTTCTCCTGCCCCCAGGTCCAGGCAACTACTCTTCTGAACCCTGCTTCTATGCATTTCACTGTTAGATACAAGGTATAAGTGAGGTTCCCCATGCAGTAAAGATGGCTAATTCTGGATATTAACACGGTACTTAGAGTTCACAACACTGTATGGTACAATTAAAACTCTAAGTGGAGCCTGGATGGTGGTGGCACAGAGGTGAAAGCGATACACAGGAAGCTTCTGGCTTTGCATCTGATCGTGGGCACTTTTGGGCCCACGATCCAGGGCTAGCAGAGGCAGGGGTGGATCATGGCCTCAAGATCCTATTCGGGGTGCTATATCTTTCTCTCTGTCTCTTTCTCACTCATGGGAGAAATCAATATGCTTTTTGTTTTGTTTTTAGTTTGTGTCATAGAGCACATGTGCTCAACAGAAAGAGAGGGAAAGTGAGAGGGGCCCAGGGGTATGGCCACACCGAAATCTCTTGCCCCCAATTCTCCTCTCCAAATACTGGGCATGTGTACACACCTAGCGTGTTTTTCAGATGCCGGGTCCAGGACCTGAACCACATAGTTAGCCAAGTGGGACCTAGCTGCTTTCACCTCCACACCATCTGCTGGCCCTCATACACTTTTTCAAAAATCTGTTCAGAAGATTGATTTCATGTTGTATTCTTATAATAATAAAATTTAAATTAAAAAAAGTCTCATTGATGTGCTGATTTATATTGTCAGGGTTTTTTTTTTTTTTTAAGTTCATTTAGTTATTTCATCCATATGAGAGAGAGAGAGAGAGAGAGAGAGAGAGAGGCTGACCCAGCAGGATCTTGCCATGGAGCAATCTCCCCCAAACCCTCCAGACAGCCAGGATCTGAGACAGCCAAAGGCATGGCCTGTGTGTTCACATTGACCCAGGACCAAAACCAGCCTCCCACATCACTCCAGCACCATGCTGCAGAGCCCTACAGGCCCTTCTGCCTGCACAGCCCTGGCTGGGTCCACACAGTCAGGGTTTCTGATGGACAACGAATGGCCACAGTTCTATGTATAAACATGTTAAATAAGTCACAGATGTTCATATTTAAATGCAGCAATCGCAACATGAGAATTGAAGGATAAATGATAGATAAAGCTACTTCTAATATTCTTTGTTTCCAAAATATGCCACGTATTTAGGAGCACTTTTCCAATTAAAAAAATAAAAATGTACTAAGGCAATACTTTCATCACAGGAGACCAAGAAGATGAAGACCTCCCAGGGGATCAGAAGACATGAACTACGGCTACAAAAACTTAATTTCTGGGCATACAGTGCTGTCAAGTTGGCCAGTCAAATGCGGCTAGCCTACAACCTAGCTAGTGGGCCGCTCCCCTGACCCTTGGAAGGAGTGGCGTGGAGTAGGAGCGGTCAGGCCGGCTTTGACTGGGAGACTGTGGCTTCCGGGCAGCAGTCTCTATGATGGACTCCCTTTCATTTCCATATGCAAGTTCACGTTTATTACGTACCAGGAAGCACATGTGCAGAAGGCGTTTCTATCCCATTCAGTGTCCCAAGGCTCAAAAATTTGAACAATTTATTTGAAAAAAATTTAAAAGAAACAAAACGAATTCAGGCACTTACTGGGTGCCCACAGCCAATTTACACGTTTGTTGCTTTATCTCACTTTGCAAAGGAAAAACCCAGGCACAGGGAGGTTAAGTAACTTGTCCAAGGTCATGCAGCTGGCAGGTGGCAGAGCCAGGAACCTATGATTTTCTCAGTGACAAAGCTCTGCTCTGGCCCCTAGGACGCCCTCTACTCTTGTAGGGGGATGGTCCCTTTGTCTTCCCAGCCCCTCACCCCTAAGCTAATTTAGAGGAAACCCAGGGGATTCTTGGGACCCGGGGCCTCCCGATGAGCTCAAAGTGCAGAAGGTTTGGAGGTCACCTCGCTGTTTGAGCACAGCTGTAGCCTGACCCTCCTTAGCCCTTCGCACGCCCCAGGCCCTTTGCCTCTGGAGAAAAACGATCTTGGCTATAAATAAATCTGCCAGTGGCTCCAGCCCGGCCCTCTGTGGTCTCTTAAAAATGGAAAGGATCGGGGCTCTCTCATCTTTATCCCCTTTTGTAACACAGATAAATGTAAGCGAAGACTACATGAACCGGGAGGGAGAGGGCGGGGCGGGCAGCGGCGGGGAAATCGCAGACCACAGCGGAGTGTCCTCAACTCGCGCGGACAAGGCCTGGCCTCTTCAAGAGTTGGATTCAAAAATAACCATTACTGCCACGAAGGAAAGCCTAAGTTAGGATACATTATGTTGCAGCTCAAACAAAGCTTTTCCATGACACCGCCCCCACTTCTTTCCAAGTTCAACGGAGAAGCCCCGGCTGGAGCCAGTTTCTCTGGACTGCCTGGCAAGGCTTCCCAAGCTCCTGAGCAGCCCCGCCTCCGACGCTCCTGAGCAGCAGGTGCACTCCAGCTCCGGTCCACATAGGAGCGACCGGCCCCCATTCCCTGGCAGCAGAGAATGGAGTTGGCGGTTCCAGGGTGGGGCGGGATCCAGGTCTTCCCCTCCCTTGCCAAGCCAACAGTTTCAGGGCTTTCGTGACACCTGGTGCCTGGAGCTGGCGCCGGAGGGAGGCTCCAGGAGCATCGCGGCCAGGTGGCCTCCCGGGCTGCAGGGAGTTGGGAGCAGGCCCGGTTGGCCCCGCCCTCGCCCAGATCCCAGAACAATTAGGAGGCTGGAGAGGACAGGAGGCGATCCCTTCGCCCTGGGCGGAGATCGCGTCCCCTTGAGCTTCCTCCCCGGGATGACGATGTTCTAAGGCACAGAAGGAACCAGGGGGCGCAGCAGGAGTTTCCAACTCCCGAGTTTTGGGGGCCGGCCCCCTTCCCTGGGGTCAGACGCGGCATCTCTGGGGGCTGATCTCTGCGCTCTCTCTCCGAGCGAGCCCCCCCACCCCGTGCCCGCCTCCCACAGGGTTCATCTTTCCTAAACGCGCTCGCCAGCCACTGAGGAGCCTCTTCCCTCAGACCTCTGGAAGGGCAGCGGAGGAAGCAGCGGCCCGGGCGCGCCCAGTGCACGCTTCGCTCCGGCGGGGTAGACTGACCCAAGTGCGCAGGCAGATCTCTGCCGCTCGGGCGCCCGGACTCGCTCCCAGGAGGACGGAAACGCAAGCCTGGGCGCTTGGGAGGGGCGCTCTGGGGCGCAACGAAGGACGTGTTTCTGGAAGCCATGCGTTGAGGGGGTCGGGGACTCCTGGCCTTGCCCCCTGGGGAGGACGTGCCATGAAATCCCCAGGGAAACGCTGAAAAAGTTGCCGTCCAGCGCGCCCGAACGCCCGCTGGGAGGAGGCCGGCCCTAGGGGACCTAGCTCCTCCTTCTTTGGGACCCCTTGGGCCAGGTCAAGGCGGAGGGGGGAGGAGGGGGCACGGAGGCGGTAACTCCGCCCGGGCTTACCTAGAACTCCGGGCCAGCCCCGCAGCGGTCGCCTTCTCCTCGGCCCCAGACCCCCGAATTCCCTTGCGCTGTTGCACCCCCAGCCACACTCACCATGGGCTGGAGGCGGCGGTGGGGGTTGCTGGCTTCTCCCACACTGTCCGTAACTTCACGGGCAGGTCAGCCCCGCCCTGGCGCCCCTTCTTGGGCACCACGAGGGTCCTGGCAGACGGGGGCCCTCACGGCCGCGGGGACGGGGTCTGGAGCTCACGGCTTCTGGATCCCTGGCGTGCTGTCCGCTGCTCCTCGCCCTGCCCGGGTTGGAGTCTGGGAGTTCTCTCGCTCCGGACGCCGGGGCGGGGCGCGCGACTGTCCCCTCCAGTTGCGGGGTGCTCTCCTGCTGCTTCCTCCACCCGCCCCGGTGGCGCACGCGTGGGTCCAGCCGCCGCCGCCTCTGCCTCTGCCGTTGCCGGGGCTCCCGCCCCTCCCCGAGCGCAGCCGGGGGCTGGGGCGAAGAGGGAGGGATTCCCCTCTGCGAGTTCGGGTTTCCCACCCGGAGCGGACCCCGGGCTCCGTCCGCCCACCGCCGCCGCTGCGGGAACCACTTCAGGGCAGTGCGGCCAGTGCCACCGGCCCCAGCTGGAGGAGGAGACGCCGGTGGCGGCGCGGCTCGCGGGGACTGGAAAGGAGGGGACCTTCAAACCCCGCGCTCGGGGAGACCGGGAGGGGGCTGGGGTGAGAGGGGAGCGGCGTGCACCCAGTCGGCCCGCGAGAGCGTTTGCAAGTGGGCAAGAGCGAATGGATAGGAGATCTTCCAACAAAAATAGAGATTAGAAAATAAACAAAGGAGAGCGAGAGAGCGCGCGAGAAAATTGTGTGCGTGTGTGTGTGTGTGTGTGTGCGCGCGTGTGTCTGTGCGAGCGCGCGACAGGCAGCTAGCGGCCCCGGCTGCGAAGCCAAAAATAATCCGGTGCGCGAGGGAGCGCCCCCTCCCCCTGCTCCTCGCCAGCGCGGCCGCCGCGGTCACGCGTGCAGCCCTGGATTCCAGCGGGCGGCTGCGGACAGGCCAGCCGGCAGCTGCGGACAGGCCACCCCGCGCCTCCGTCTTCCCGCTCGAAGGGGAAAACAGTGAGAGTTGGATGCTGAGGCACTGAACCCAGGGCCTTCCCGTACACAAGTCTTCTTCGTCCCAAAGTGGGCTCGCTTATTGAGCTCCACAGCACTCGGTCTCGACCCCACCACTGCAGCCAACCCCGGGAGAAAAGCTACATCGTGGTAGAATCTTGTCCCCCATCCACTTCTGTCTGGGGGAAGTTTTCTGATGAATCTTCAAACCTCCCGGCCAGCAAGAGATGGAGCCCTATCTGAGACACGGGAAGTTAGCCTGGCCGGAGGCAGTGCAGGACCTGAGTGCCCGGTGGCCTGGGCTGCCCCCAGCCCCTCCGCAGCTTGGCCTCCCTGTCCGGCCCTCTTACTGGAACTGACTCAGAGGGGTCTAGCGAGTGTCTTAGCAGCTGCCTTAGAGCCGGAAGCTCGTGTTACCACTTAATAAGCACTCACTTGTCCACAGCTGCTGTTGTAAGCACTTTGCACTGAGCTTTCTCAACCACTGGGCCAAGCAGGTGCGTAGGTGAACCCGTTCCACAGATCCAAAAAAGGAGGCTCCCAGATGTGCAAGCAGTATTTCTCCTTTTTTGAGCCTGACCCTTGGACTGCCTGGGCCAGAAATATTACCGTTTTTGTCCTTTTTCCCATCCCTCTTTCTCTCTAAAAGCAAACATTCCTAGTGATGGTTTTGCACAGTAAAGTGTGAGGTCTGCTGAGTTATAATGGGCTCCAGGTCACATAGCTGATGAGGAACCAGGACTCCCCAGCCAGGTCTGCCTACCTTCATGTGGAGAACCACTGCCCTAAGGTGGACAAGGCCAGATTCCAACTGCGGATGCTCTCCTCGCTCCCTGGGCACTTTATCTGAGACTCTTGTTCAATTTCCTGTCCCCTCGATTGTTTTTGCACTTTCTGCACTGAAAGCATGGTGCTGCTTCCAAGGAGGACTGCCAGGTTTCCGAAAGAAGGGACCATGTTACGTGTGCTCCTTTGTACCCGTGTGTGTCATGCCGAATGAATAGCAGGTTCAATTCTGCATCCTATCAGGCTAAGGATTCTTCCAACATGAGAATAAAACAAAGAAAGAGATTTCTACCTACAACTGGAATTTTTCTAAACCATGCTTCATTTTATAATCTATCTATCTATCTATCTATCTATCTATTTATTTATTTATTTATTTTGAGAGAGAGAGAGAGAGAGAGAGAGAGAGATGTTTGTTATAGGGGGCGTATGCTCGCCAGACAAAGACAGAGAGACAGAAAGTGAGAAATCATTCCCCGGAGGGTTGGTTATGCTGCAATCCCTTCTCTTCCATTCTCCTCTCAGGATTTTGTGCACACGCTCACAGGCACTCGGCATGAGTTTTAAGTCTCCAGGTCTGGGATTCAAACCATGGCCAACTATGTGTGATTCCAACGATGTAACCATTATGCCATCTGCTGGTTCCCATTTGATCATCATTTGAGAAAATAAAGTTGCAAAGTCCAGAAGACGTCTCTATCATTGGCCCTCGTGATACTCAGTTTGTGCTGGTTTTACCATATGCTTTCTTAGGACTCCCTGAGATAATAATATATCTGCATGTAAACAACTTGTTTCTTTATACTAATCTCTCATCCTTCAGTGATAGCACATAAATCTGGGTTAGTAACATCATAATCATTTCCCCCAGAAACTGTTTACAATGGGAAAACCACCGAATTTAAATGTAATTGTCTAGCCGTGCAGGGAGATGAGATGGGTTGTAAAAGAGGTAGTCTCAATTTAAAAGCAAATTATCAATAATGAGAGAAGAAATAAATGGCAGTTAATGGGAAGTTCTGTTGAAATATAATGTTTTGTGCAAATTCACCAACAGGAATTGTTTCTCTATACTCCTTTATTTTTATTCCAGAAGGGGAAAAAAATGAATGCAATCATTCAAGGCGGAAACACTGGCTGTTGCTTCATTAAAATGGGTAATTGCTGGACCCTTTTATTATTTTTAAAATATATTTTTACCATTGGAAATGAAATAAAACATATTCTACTCCCTGAAAATCGAGGTCAGTCTGAGTCTGCACTGATTTATTTATTTTAGAGTAGAAATAGGCTTAGATATATTAGAAATTAGTGTCAGGCATGGCTCAGTGGGACCTGTATTGCAATATGGCTTAAAGAGGTTTAATAGGAGTAAGGGAGACATCCATTAGAATTTGAAACAAAATTAGAGGAAAGATCAATATACTATACTATTATGCTATTCATTTGGAGAGTACTGGTTTCTTTTTCACAATGACCTATCCCATTCCAGGTAGGTGTTTTCTGTTATTTCTCCACGGTGAGCCACTGATAGGTAATGAGAGGTGCTGAAATAGACAGCTCCTAGGACAGCCCAGGGCCAAGAGCCGCCCAGCTTTGGTTATGAAGAACCTGGAGGCTTTGGCTCCTCCTACTGGACATGAAAAATACTTTGCAATGTGTGATATAAGCAAATGTCAAAAATGGTGTCTCCCATAAAGCTTATTAAAACAATAATGAAGGCAGCCTCATGCTTGGCTCAGAGCTATCTAAATTATAAAGTTCATCATCTCACTTTCAAATGTAGACTCTTCCTATAGCTTTTGCTCCTGAAAAGGTTAGGTCTAAAGGACTACTTTAGACCTATCTGGGTGACAAAGTCCTGGATTATCTGGCTTTTGTAAAGTTCATCCAATGATCAAGGGGTATTCTTCTCCTGCTGGTCTCCCATCCTTTGCATGTGCCATTCTCCAACACAGACCACTCCTACAGGTTCTTTTTTTTTTTTTTTTCTAGATTGCTTATATTTATCCTTTAGATCTATCTCCATTTGGACATCACTTTCTCCCTGGCAGCACCCACCACCCCTCCTCCAATACACCCATAAGGCCCTCATTTGAGCTCCTCTAGCATCTACATTGACTTTATCATATCCTTTGTCTCCGTCTATTGTACAATCAATGTTCTCCTGCAGTATTCTGAAAGGTCTGTGGTGTCAAGAATTTGCTCCCCAGTGCACAGGACCAGTCCGTAATAACCAGCTCAATAACTGTACAGCGAATCTACCTTCTACCTTTGGTAGACTGCTGCCTAGGTGAGCTAACCACTGTGGAATGAGTGGAGAAACCCGCCTGCTCATCCATTCATTGGGTCCTTTATTCTTAGAGCCCTTGATCATGCATCTTTCTTGAGGCTAGTCCCTCACGTAAACCATTTGGCATATAAAGTAGACACAGTTTCTGCACTCACAAAGTGTATGGTCTAATAGGATAAGTAAGCACACAAATGAGTGATGCAAATTTGTTTAAAGATTTGAGAAATACGGAATGGAAATACATAGCCAGACATGGGGGGAAGGCAGAAGGTCAGGCCAATCTTTCTAGAGGAGAACATCTCCAAATAGACTGGCTAAGTAGGAATTACCCAGAGTTGGGTGAAGGACATTCCTGAAGATAAACATAGCTTCTGAGAGTATGCAAAGTAAAAACAGTAGAACTTTTCTGGAGAACTGAAAACCTGTTCAATACACATAGAGTCATGTTGAGTTCAAGATGTTGGAAAGTAGTGGTTGGGCACAAGACAATAGAAGCTGAAGCTGAAGATGTAGGTTGGGGAAAGCTGACCAAGGGCTCAGAATTGAACTGTCAAGCATATTTGCTTTACCTCAAGGCCATGGAGAGTCTGACTGGCTCATACTAAGGCTTGTGAAGACCTGTGATAGTCATAATTCCCACTGCTGATTCCCTGGACACTGCTCTGCATTCACAGTGTCTCAGTGACCATGTCCTCACTGTGATCTTCTCTTTGTTTATGGACTTTTCTAAATGGCCAGTGTAAACAAAACATCCTATGTGAATTCTAGGGATTAGTCGATTATTTAAAAAATACTGTAGGGATTTTTAGGGATGATCAGTGATATATCAGGCAGGATAAAACAAGGATGAAAAGAGAAAATTAACAAATATAAAATGTGCCAAGGATCCTTCCATTTCTTCTCCCAAGGTTACCTTTTAATAGCAGTTACAGAGACAGGATGCTGTACCCAAATTTATTTATAAATGACACAGGGCTCAATAAGATTCTTCGCACAATCCTAATATGATGTAAGACCTGCCTTGCCCTCAAGTTCTCAGGCTTCAGGCTTACCTAAAGCTTTATCACAGTCTGGGTCAACTAATGAACTAATTAAAACAGTCTGAGGACCACAGGGGAATGGATTGCACCTTATATTCTCTGTTCCCCTCCCATCCTTAGGCACATGGCAGATACTCAATATGTAGTTATTGATTGGCTGAACTAACTCACCATCTAACTCACCATCTATCATGTAGTTCAGGGTTTTGATATTAACCA